TTTGTTGTTGTTGTTGTTGCTTGTGTGTTTTTCAAGACAGGGTTTCTTTTTGTCACCCTGGCTATTCTGGGAACTCTCTCTATAGACCAGTCTGGCTCAAACTCAGAGATTTCCCTGCCTTTGCTTCCCAAGTGCTGGGATTAAAGGCATGCACCACCACAGCCCAACTTAGATTAATTTTTATTACTTTAAATTTCATGTTTGTGTGTCTATGGGGGCTATGTATACATATTTCAGAGGCCAGAAGTATTGGATCCTGAGCTGAACTTTCAGGTGCTAGTGAGCTGTTTGACTTGGATGCCAAGAATCAAACTCAGGTTCTTTGCGAGAGTGGAATGATATCTTTATAGCTGAGCCATCTCTCCAGCCCCCCCCTCCTTCTCTCTCTGTCTGTCTCTCTGTGTGGTTTAAGATTGTTTTATATGTATGAGTGTTTTGCCTGTATGTATGTGTGTGTGCACATGCATGTCTGATGCTCTCAGAGTTTGGAAGAGGGCATCAGATCCACTGGAACTGGAGTTACAGATGGCTATGACTCATTATGTGAGTGGTAGGAATCAAACCTGGGTCCTCTAGAAGAGCCATGAGTGCTCTTAACCACAGAGCCATTTCTCCAACTCCTGGTTATATATTATTTTTTTATTTATTTGTTTTGTTTGCTTGTTTTGAGAGAGGATCTCACTCTGGCTGCTGTCCTGGAATTTACCATGTAGACCAAGCTAGCCTCTAGCTTACAGAGATCTGCCTGCTTCTGCAGCCCAAGTACTAGGATTAAAGTCGTGTGCCACTATGCCTGGCTTGGTTATATATTCTTAAAAGATAATTTTTGCCAGGCACTGGTGGTGTATGTCTTTAATCCTAGTACTCAGAAGGCAGAGGCAGGTGGATCTCTGTGAGTTTGAGGTCACCCTGGTCTCCAGAGCGAGTTCCAGGACAGCCTCCAAAGTAATACAGAGAAACCTTGTTTCCGAAAACAAACAAAAGATAATTTTTGCTGGTTATTCTACTCATTCCTAAGGTAGTTTTATTGTTTCTTACAAAGAAGAGAATTAATTTTTTTCAGTACTCTTAGGCCATAGGTGCAGCTTCATGTAGACTTATTTATTTCTTTACCTGATGCCTGTTTCCTGTTTTTATATAAGTGAAAATGCTCAAGGCCTCTAAAATCCACAGGGATGTTAAGGCTGAAAAACCTATTTTCTGCTTTCTAACATTCCTACTTTGGCTCTTTGAGGTGGGGTCCCAAGCAGCCGAGCCTGGCCTCTAACTTGCTCTGTAGCTGGGGATTATCTTGAAGTCCTAATCCTCCTGTTTCTACCTTCCTAGTGCTGGATTACAGGTGTGCATCACCATGTCAGGTTCTAGTTAGGTTCATACTTACTCAGCTTTTTCTGTGCTACTTAATTTGTGGATGCCCTGGAAATGAAATGCCATTAAGAATTTTTAAGATACCCATGCAAACAAATTCAATGTTGTGAGCATTTTGTTTTTGAATGGCGTGTGTCCAGATGACCATACATTGGAAGTGTACCCAGTAGACAACATTGGCACAGGTTGGAATTGTATTTCTGGGAGGTGCACAATACTTTTTATACATGCTGAGTTATAAGAAAGTGAAACTCTGGGTGAGGGTGGATGGTGATGCCTTTAATCTTAGCACTCTTATGGCAGAGGCAGGTAAATCTCTGAGTTCAAGGCCAGCCTGGTCTACAGAACAAGTTGCAGGACAGCCAGGGCTACACAGGTGTCTCAACAGCAACAACAAAATGAAACTTGTCCAATACGATCTATATTTACAGCCTGTGGTGTTCCTCATAGAGGAGGAAAATCAGAGAAGTGTGTTACACAGGTGACATGATTGCAAATAAATGAGGAATTAATGAAACAGGTCACAAGTCTTTGAGAGTTGGCTTTGCAGGGCCACAGAGCATTGACTTCAGGTGACAACAGAGGTCTTTTTCAAAGCAGTGACTCCAATACAGGTCATGTAATCCCAACTGCTCTCGTCATTTGACACAGGAGAATTTTTTCCCTTCTCCTTTTTTTTTCTTTTTGGTACATTTTCAGCTCCAGAATCTTTTGCTTTTTTGAAACAGGGTTTTTTTTTTGGTTTTTCGAGACAGGGTTTCTCTGTGGCTTTGGAGGCTGTCCTGGAACTAGCTCTTGTAGACCAGGCTGGCCTCGAACTCACAGAGATCCGCCTGCCTCTGCCTCCCGAGTGCTGGGATTAAAGGCGTGCGCCACCAACGTAGCTATGGCTGTCCTGGAACTCATTTTGTAGACCAGTGCCCTTAAACTAACAGAGATCCACCTGCCTCTGCCTCCTGAGTGCTGGGATTAAAGGTGTGCACCGCTGCTCAGGTGTAACTCCAGAATCTTTATTATCTATTTGTTTATAGAAACAATTAGGCAGGATCTCTGTGAGATTCTCTTTTAGAAACTGTGTGTTTAGTACTTGTGATAAGACACATTGTAATAATAAGATATATTGTCTCCAAATTATTCACTGCCTCTTAGATCATAGATAAATTATTTCTCAGAAATCCTAGCCTTCTGGAGGTCTTTCTATAGCTGTGTAGAGTATCTGTGCCAATTCTTGAATTGAGGCCTCAAACAATTTTCCATACATTTTGTATTTGAATTTTGTATGTAACAACCCTTTTAGGTAAACATTTGGGCTTATAAAATTCTCATCTTGTTTAAATCTGGATGACTGAGATGTTTTAGGCTCACAGTAGTAAATTGACTGGCTCTGGCTTGTGAAGTTGGCCTGGCTAACACAGTGACCTTAGGTATGTGTGGCCATGGACATGCTTCTGTTGTTTACTGTTCTTGCTTTCTAGTGACTTTATTTTCTGCTCAAGGGATTTAGTATCTGTTTGGATAATTTTCTTTTTAAAGGCCACATAAAGTAATGACCTCTAATCTTAGCCTTGAAGGTATCCCAGACCTATCCTTTGAGAATACTACCCAATACTAGGCAACCAGTGCTATTTGAAAATGTGTATTTTACTTTGAAAAATATTTCCATGCCTAAATGACTTTATTAGCAAAGTGGTGCATGAATGACATAATTGACAGCTCCTGGACCCTGCCTTGTGTGATGCTTTTCATGTCTTGTTACTAAGAGCTGGTATACTTCAGAACAGCTCTTCCTTAGTAACATTACCTGACTGTGAAAAAAAACCCTTCAGTGTGACACAGTCTTATCTGAAATAGCCCTTGTTTCTTAGATCCAGTAAGAACATTTAAATATGGTGGGTTCTATAGAGGAAAACTACAATTAATTCATTATTTTTTATGAGTGTGAACAATCTTCCCAGGACATAATAAACAATCATAGTTAAGATTGCTGGACTAGGGACTGGAGAGGTGATTCAGCCATTAAGAGCACTTGGTGCTCTTACAGAGGACGCTGGTTCATTTCCCAGCACCCACATGGTAGCTCACTACCATTTTAAGCTCCAGTTCCAGGGCATCCAATGTCCCCTTGTGACCTGCATGGATGCCGGGCACACAGGTAGCACACAGATACACCCAGGCAAAATGCTCATACACATAAAAGTAAAATAAATCTTTAAAAAAGATATATGGGCAGTTGACATCATGAATAAAGTGTAACAATTAGTGACATGATAAAAGTTCATGGGATTGTATTAATATGTATGGTAAGGTGTATTCATGAAGGAGAAGAAAAAAGGTTTTTCTTGGGTGTCAGGTCTCTAGTTGCCCTGATGGTCTCCTTTCACTTGTCGGGTAGCCATGTCTTGGTGAGGTCCCACCTAGGCACAGTGGTGTGTCTTTGAAATTGACAGAGAAAATTACATATGGTGATCGTGACCTTGATATGTTTGTTGTTGTTGGTTTTTTTTTTTTTTTTTTTTTTGGTTTTTCGAGACAGGGTTTCTCTGTATTGTTTTGGAGGCTGTCCTGGAACTCACTCTGTAGACCAGGCTGGCCTCGCACTCACAGAGATCCACCTGCCTCTGCCTCCCGAGTGCTGGGATTAAAGGGGGATTAAAGGCGTGTGCCACTAACACCCGGCCTTTTTTTTTTTTTTTTTTTTTTTTGTTAAAAAGAAAATGTTTAGTTCTTTGCTGCTGAATCCTTAAGTGCAAAGGATGAAACGTGCTCTTAAGTAACTGCAGCTGCTTCTTGAGGTCTATTTCAGCCTAAGACAATCCTGAAAGCAGTTTGAGGAATTGTGACTTTTCCGTGGTTCTAGCAGAAGAGAAATACTTCATTCAGCTCTCTCACTTGAGGCAGTGAAATGGTTTTTCTTCCTATCCCCACAGCAAGAATTATGAACTTAATGCCACAAAACAGAATCAGTGTTAATGTATAAAGCTCCCCATATTTGGGCCCTCAACAGTGGTAAATAATGTGCCGGACTGTGAAATGGAAAAAGCTGAAACTTTCTGTTTATGCATTTGAGCTTTTCAGAGGTATTATACTCTCTGGGAGTAATAGTAAAAGACACTAGGGCTTATACAGTGCCTTTGTATGAGGCGCTCATATAGACACTAAGGCATTGATCTTAACACAGTACTTGATTGTGACTTTAAAAGGTCATGAGTTGCTGCTGTTACAAAGAACCAAAAGGATGGAAGGATGCTGCATTTACAAATACTGCTTTAGAAAGTCTACAAAAAGTTAGACAGCTCAAAGCTACCGGAAACTTTGGTAGCTTATATGTTGACTTTTTGATGGATTTTTTTAATGCTTTTCTCATTTTTTCCTATCTATAAATGTTTTCAATGTCAAGATTGTCTTTTAAGTTAGAAAGCAGAATGTAATTTTAGGCCTGTATTTTTCCTTGGCCAAGAAAGTGTAAAAGCCATTGTGATTTCCAAAGTATTTAATATAACAGGGTTTTGTTTTGTTTTTTGTCCTGAATACTGAGCTCATCCTTTTAATTGTCTTGTTAATATTTGTGATGTGTAACTATTGATTTTGAATACAGTGGCCATGAGTTAACTTTCAACTTTTTTGTTTTCTAGGTTTATTCTACAATCCAAGGAAGTAATTCACAACCAGCTGTTAGAAAAACAGAAATTAGCAGAAGAAAAAATTAAAGAGCTGGAGGTATGTCCAACAATAGCAGTCCACTTTTAGGGAAAAGAAGTGATAATCCTATTCTGTTATATTAAATGAAAACATGTGGCTGACAGAGTTTAGGTTATGTTTTCATTTTATCTAGTTTGCTTTAATTGTGTTAAAACTGTGGAACAGCCATATTCATGGCAGTATTTGAACATAAGCAAAACTGTCTTTTTTTTTTTAACTGTGGACAATTTTAAAGATAAGGTGTTGGTCTGAATGTATTTTCTTCATTGCCTTTTACTGGACAATTTTTTAAACAGTTTTTTATTATATATTTAAATTAGAAACAAGCTTGCTTCCCATGTCAGTCCCAGCTCCCTCTCTCTTCCTTCCACGCCCACTCCCCCCCCCACCAGCTCCCCCAACTCCCCACCCAATCCCACCCTATTCCCCAGGGAGGGTAAGGCCCTCCATGGGGGATCTCTAGAGTCTGTCATTTCATTCTGGGCAGTGCCCAGGCCCTCCTGCAAGTGTCCAGATTGAGAGAGCATCCCTCATTGTGGGATGGGCACCCAAAGTCCATTTGTGTGCCAGGGATAAATACTGATCTACTACCCAAAGCCTAGGTCTCCTCACTGACGCCCACATTCAGGGGGTCTGGATCAGTCCTATGCTGGCCTCTCAGCTATCAGTCTGGGGTCCAAGATCTTCCCCTTGTTCAGGTCAGCTCTTTCTTTGGGTTTCACCAGCCCAGTCAAGCCCCTTTGCTCATCACTCCTCCCTCTCTGTCACTGGGTTTCAGGAGTTCAGTTCAGTGTTTAGCTGTGGGTGTCTGACTCTGCTTCAGTCTGTCACTGGATGGAGGTTCTAGGATGATATGTAAGATAGTCGTCAAAATCATTATCAGGGAGGGGCATTTAAAGCAGTCTCTCCACTACTGCTTAGTTTGCCAGTTGGTGGTGTCATCCTTGTAGATCGCTGGAGATCTCACTAGTGCCAGATCATCCCTCAAACCTAGAATGACTCCCTCTATTATGGTGTCTCTCATCCTGCTTTCCTCTATTCTTCCCCCAACTCAACCTTCCTGCTTCCCCATGACCTCCTCTCTCCTCCTCTTCTCCCCCTCTCTTTTTCCTGGCTCCCTCCTCCACCTCCCCCATGCTCCCAATCTGCTCAGAAGATCTTACCTCATTCCACCTTCTCTGGAGTACCGTGCATATCTCTCTTAGGGTCCTTCCTGTTTCCCTGACTCCCTGGCAGTGGGATTGTAGGCTGGCACTTCCCTGTTTCATGTCTAGAATCCATATATGAATGAGTACATACCATGTTTGTCTTTTTGTGACTGGGTTTCTTCTAGTGCCATCCATTTGCCTGCAAATTTCAAGATTCCATTGTTTTTTTTCCCCTGAGTAGTACTCCATTGTGTAAATGTACCACATTTTCTCTGTCCACTCTTCAGTTGAGGGGCGTGTAGGTTACTTCCAGGTTCTGGCTATTACAAATAGTGCTGCTATGAACATAGTGGAACAGGCATCCTTGTTGTATGAGTGTGCATCTTTTGGGTATATGCCTAAGAGTGGAATTGCTGGGTCTTGTGGTAGACTGATTCCCATTTTCCTGAGGAATCTCCATACTGATTTTCATAGTGGCTGTACGAGTTGGCACTCCCACCAGCAGTGGAGGAGTGTTCCCTTTCTCCACATCCTCTCCAGCATAAACTGTCATTGGTGTTTTTGATTTTAGTGATTCTGACAGTAGTAAGATGGTATCTCAGAGTTGTTTTGATTTGTATTTCCCTCATTTCTAGGGATGTTAAGCACTTTCTTAAGTGTCTCTCAGCCAGTTTAGTCTCCTCTGATTGAGAATTCTCTATTTAGTTCTGTAGAGCACTTTTTAATTGGATCCTTTGGTGCTTTGGAGACTTGCTTTTTGAGTTCTTTGTAGATTTTGGAGGTCAGCCCTCTGTCAGATGTGGGGTTAATGAATATCTTTTCCCATTCTGTGGGCTGCTTTTTTGTCTTGTTGACTGTGTCCTTTGCCTTGCAGAAGCTTCTCGGCTTTAGGAGGTCCCATTTATTAACTGTCGATCTCAGTGTCTGTGCTACTGGTGTTATGTTCAGGAAGCAGTCTCCTGTACCAATTCGTTCAAAGGTACCTCCCACTTTCTTTTCTAACAGGTTCAGTGTGACTGGATTTATGTTGAGGTCTTTGATTCGTTTGGACTTAACTTTTGTGCATGGTAATAGACATGGATCTATCTGTAGTCTTCTACATGCCAGTATCCAGTTATGCCAGCACCATTTGTTGAAGATGCCTTTTTTTTCCATTGTATAATTTTAGCTTCTTTGTCAAAAACCAAGTGTTCATTTGTGTGTGGGTTAATATCAGGGTTTTAATTTGATTCCTTTGGTCTACCTGTCTATTTTTGTGCCAATACCAAGCTGTTTTCCGGACTATAGCTCTATAATAGAGCTTGAAGTCAGGGATGGTGATGCCTCTGGACGTTGCCTTGTTGAACAGGGTTGTTTTGGCTATCTTAGGTTTTTTGTCTTTCCATATAGAGTTGAGAATTGTTCTTTCAAGGTCTGTGAAGAATTGTGCTGGGATTTTAATGGGGGTTGCATTGAATCTGTAGATTTCTTTTGGCAGGATTGCCATTTTTACTATGTTGATCCTACCTATCCAAGAGCATGGGAGATCTCTCCATTTTCTGGTGTCTTCTTTAATTTCTTTCTTTAAAAACTCAAAGTTTTTGTCATACAGGTCTTTCACTTGTTTGGTTAGGGTTACCCCAAGGTATTTTATGTTGTTTGTGGCAATTGTAAAGGGTGATGTTTCTCTGATTTCTTTCTCAGCCCATTTATCGTCTGTATATAGTAGGGCTACTGATTTTCTTGAGTTGATTTTGTATCCTGCCACTTTGCTGAAGGTATTTATCAGCTGTAGGAGTTCCCTGATGGAGTTTTTCGGGTCACTTATATAAACTATCATATCATCTGCAAATAGTGAAAGTTTGACCTCTTTCTTTCCAATATGTATGGCCCTTGATCTCCTTTTGTTGTCTTATTGCTCTAGCTAGAACTTCAATTACAATATTGAAGAGGTATGGGCAGAGTGGACAGCCTTGTCTTGTTTCTAATTTTAGAGGAATTGCTTTGAGTTTCTCTCCATTTAGTTTGATGTTAGCTGTTGGTTTGCTGTATATAGTTTTTATTATGTTTAGGTATGTTCCTGTTATCCATGATCTCTCCAAGACCTTTATCATGAAGGTGTGTTGGATTTGTCAAAGGTTTTTTCAGCATCTAGTGAGATGGTCATGTGATTTTTGTTTCTCAACTTGTTTATATGGTGGGTTACATTGATGGATTTTCGTATGTTGAACCATTCCTGCATCCCTGGGATTGAAACCTATTTGATTATGTTGAATGAGTTTTCTGATGTGTTCTTGGATTTGATTTGCCAGTATTTTATTGAGTTTTTTGCATCAATGTTCAATATTGGTCTGAAGTTCTCTTTTCTTAGTTTGTCTTTGTGTGACTTCGGTATCAAGGTTATTGAAGCCTGGTAAAAAGAGTTTAGCAAAGACCCTTCTGCTTCTATTGCATGGAATACTTTGAGGAGAATTAGTATAAACTGATCTTTGAATTTCTGGTAGAATTCTGCACTAAGGCCATCTGGACCTGGGCTTTTTTTTGTTGGGAGACTTTTGATGACTGTTTCTATTTTCTTAGGGGCTATAGGTCTATTTAAATTGCTTATCTGTTCTTGATTTAATTTTGGCAGGTGATATCTATCCAGAAAGTTGTCCATTTCCTTTAGATTTTCGAATTTTGAGGAGTACAGGTTTCAAAGTATGACCTGATGATTCTCTGGATTTCCTCAGTGTCTGTTGTTATGTCCCCCTTTTCATTTCTGATTTTGTTAATTTGCATGTTCACATTCTGCCGTTTGGTGAGTTTGGATAAAGGTTTGTCTATCTTGTTGATTTTTCTCAAAGAACCAACTCTTCGTTGCATTGATTCTTTGTATCGTTTTCCTAGTTTCTACTTTATTGAGTTCAGCCCTCAATTTGATTATTTCCTGTCCTCTACTCCTCCAGGGTGAGTTTGCTTCTTTTTGTTCTAGAGCTTTCAGTTGTGCTGTTAATTCTCTAGTGTAACTATTCTCCAGTGTCTTCCTGTGGGCACTTAGTGCTATGAACTTTCCTCTTAGCGCTGCACTCAAAGTGTCCCATAAATTTGGGTATGTTGTGTCTTCATTCTCATTGAATTCTAGGAAGTCTTTAATTCCTTTTTTTTTTTAATTTCTTCTTTGATCCAGAAGTGGTACAATTGCACATTATTCAATTTCCATGAGTTTGTAGGGTTTCTGCAATTTGTGTTGTTGTTGAACTCTAACTTTAAAGCATGGTGATATGATAAGATCCATGGAGTTATTCCAATTTTTTTGTACCTGTTGAGGTTTGCTATGTTGCCAAGTATGTGGTCAATTTTTGAGAAGGTTCCATGTGGCGCTGAGTAGACGGTATATTCTTTTGTGTTTGGATGGAATGTTCTCTAGATGTCTGTCAAATCCAATTGGGTCATAACTTCAATTAGTTCCTTCATTTCTTTGTTAAATTTCTGTCTGGTAGTCCTGTCTAATGGTGAGAATGGGATGTTGAAGTCTCCCACTATACGTGTGTGAGGTTTTATGTGTGGTTTGAGTTTTAGTAATGTTTCTTTTACAAATGTGGATGCCTTTGTGTTTGGGGCATAGATGTTCAGAATTGAGACTTCATCTTGGTGGATTTTTCCTGTGATAAATATGAAATGACCTCCTTCATCTCTTTTGATTGATTTCAGTTTAAAGTCTAGTTTGTTAGATATTAGGATTGCTTCCCCTGCATGTTTCTTGGGTCCATTTGATTGGAAAATCTTTTCCCAACCCTTAACTCTGAGGTAACATCTTTCTTTGAAGCTGAGGTATGTTTCTTGTATGCAGCAGAAGGATGGATTCTGTCTTCAAATCCATTCTGTTAGCCTGTGCCTTTTAGGGATATT